CGTAAGCAATAACGAACGGCGGCTCAACGCATCCGCCATGCGGTTAGACGCCCCTGAACCGCCAATGCGATCTCGTCTCCATCACTTTGGATATAAATCCAAAACAGCACTAAAACAACAAATTAAAACATGGCTAACATCAATCATCACGTGAAGTGAGAGAGAGAATCAAACAAAACAAGTAGTACACACAATTATTAACTAAGCCACCAAAGGCAATATGTGGATGTATGTAACACTTTCTTTTTTTTTCCTAAAAAAACTGAATTGTTTTTCTTTCTTTCTTTCTTTTGCAGGCAGGCAGGCAGGCAGGCAGGGATTATTATAAAGACATGATCTTTAATCTTTTGAACAAACAAAAGAAAGTTGACTGATAACAACAACAACAAGTAACAAACCTCCTCAACACTTTTCTTATTATAAGTTGACTAGTTATCATCCTATCCTATCCTATCCCTATAATAATAATGTTGCTTCTCAAGTCTTTTATCATTCTCGAAACCTGCTGCTGCTTTTGTTAAAAAGGAGTTCCATCATTTGAATGGACAGCCTTTTCCCAATATTTTGATTGATTACAACAATCTCCACTTCAAAACTAAGGCCGCAGTTACTTTTTCAACCGATACGCATACTTCCAAACTAAAATGTCATCCTCTGAATTTCATAAGTATATGACATTTCACTCCAAAATTTCATAAGTATAATAACACATACTATATTTATTGACCTTGATAAATTAAAAGGAAGTTCAATTCAATTAGCTAGGGAAACAAAGTTGCTTGGACTTCAACTACACCTACATCTAACCTAATATAAAAAATTTTGAAACATGGGGAGTTACACCTTCTTCCCAACTTAAGGTGCCATGCACAAACCCGAGTTATCCAACGAGCTGTTGCCATTCTTTGATGTCTTCACTTCTCACTCAACTAACTGAAACTCACACAAGAATTCCGATTGACAAACAGAAATTAAAGGCTAGAAAACTGGTAGAACGAGAAAAAAGGCAAATACAAATCCAGCAAAAGGAAGAAAAGCAGCTGTTTTTCAATCACTTTAAACATACCGGCACCTCGGGCTTAAAGCCAGTGCCATGTAGGAACCACCAGGGACCCCTCCGTTGCAATAATCTGAAACGAGAAAAATAAAAGGCAAATATGTTAAAATACAAGACAAAATCAATCCAAGGAGAAACAATATCACTTTTCTGATCATTCATCATTATTACATTTAGTTTTAGAAAGTAATAAATTACCAACCTAGGCAGCATCTCTATTACGAGCCAAACACAAGAAATTCTCGCAAATTACAAAAAAAAATTGCACTTTGAATAACAAAAAAGCATTCCACAATTAGATAAGAGTGACTTCACCTGATAATTCCAGCCACCATTCGAAGTCCCATGAAGAGAGTCAAACCAGACCAAACACCAACAAGTCCAATTGTTCTAGGAACAAATAGCAAAAAAGCAGAGGACACTGCCCCGACCAGCACCTACATTTTAAATAATAAACGCATATCAAAGTCGAATCAAATCTCATGTATGTAATGCTAAATAACGTATTATAGCACACTTTTTAAGACATACCATTGAAATCGCAGCATATCGGAAGTCCAAGACACCATAATGAAGTCCATCGAAAATAAAAGCTAGGGCATTTATAGGTTGACTGGCGCTAACAAACTGCAGGACACACTTATCATTGATAAACTATTAAACAAACAAAGCCAGCCGACTTAAAATACGTGGAAAAACTAGTCAAACTTTACCAGAATGACATTTCTAATAACTCCCAGAACTTCTGCATCCTTGGTAAATATTGTGGCTAGGGACCCAAACGAAAAACCTAGGATTAGAGCTAAGGAAACTCCGGTAATGAATCCTATCTGGAAAAAAGAAATATAAAGCAATGTCAAGACAAAGTTCCTTGAACAGAAAGGACTACGGTCTCTATAGCAACAATGGCGAGAAGAACCTTTAATACGAAGTGTGTGATGTCCTTCACAGTCCTGTAATCATCTTTAGATATGTAACCAGCGATCAAGGCCTGGGGGAAAAAAAATCTTGAGGAAAAATGAAACCCAAGAACAAGCTGAAGCATGCATAATTGAATAAGACGTATATTCAAGCAATGATAATAAACAAAAACTGAAAAACTTTGATTTTCGCTCCAGACCATCACGTAAAAGACTAACAAGCACATTAATACCAATGTCATATTACAAGTATATAGACAATCATCAGCAAGAAAGTATTACAATTGAACTAATCAGTAGGCAACGATATTATTTGGGAATTAGAACAGTAACATAGAGAGAAAGAAGTGAAAGCTTAATGAAAAAGTAACCTGAGCTGAAGCAGCAAGTGCATCAGTAAGAAGGGAAACAGCAAGCCAGACTTGAAGACATATTTGATGAGCAGCCATTGCAATTGGTCCCTGACGAGCCGCCATGGATGTGCCAAGTGTCATTGTCAGCAGAACAGCAAGAGTCCTCCCAATAAGAAAACCACCTAACCATCATCAGAAAACATTAATGAATAACGGATGAACTAATTTACAATGATAGATAAGGAAGAGGAAAAGAGATGACATATGCTTACCTGATTTAAGGTAATCACCAAACTGTAGTTCTCCGAGTTTTGGAGGCAGCAATACAGTTCTCTTATTAAGATGCCAAATCATTAAGAAGGCAACGATGTATCTGACAGCAATGAAAAAATTGTAAGAACAAGTTCCAAGTAAAGGAATAAACAAGAACCTAGGTTCAAAATTACCTAGTCATGTGAAAGGAAATGGAACGAGCATACAAATACATACTGAGAGACAACGGTGGAAATGGCAGCTCCATAAACACCCAACTGACAATAATACATGAAGAAAGGGAAAAGAAGCACAGCAGATAAATTTCCAACACCTGCAGATGACACCGTGAAAGTGTATTTTCAGGGACGAGAAAAAATAAGAAAATTTTTAAAGAAGAATGAAAAACGAAAACATGCTTAGATACAATTTGAGACGTGGAAACTTACCTAAACAAAATACGGGAGTCTTCATATCCTTGAAACCACGGAAAATTCCTTGAAGTGCCAAAGAAACAACAAAAGCTGGAGCACCAAGGGCCCGCAGAATGAGAAAATGTTGTGCAGGGCCACGCATTGAAGAAACCTGCAAACACAGCTTTCCTCTTAGCTTACCTCTTAGAGAAAAAGTTCATCAAAATGTTACTTGTGTATGTATACGAATTCATCTACTTGAGTCCGCTTTCGCATATGCCCTTGTAAATGCAACAGAAAAAGTGGGGCCCGGTTTAGTTGAAGCAAAAACATTTTCTCAGATGAAAAGATATCCACTATCAAGCTTTTACGAAACATTTCCTAAGTTTTCTACAAATACTTAATTGATAGCCTATCGACAGATTGATATCTTGTAGATCAAATTTCACTAATTTTTATCGTTAATCATGAAAACAAATCCAACAATACTAGCACTGGCTTGAAAGATTTACAAACAAAATATTTGATGATTTGGCTTCTTCAACATTAAATGGATGACATGCTAAGTTATCCACACATAAAGGCATGAGATTTGGTAAAATTTTCATTGTCAAGATATCTTTCTATTTAATGAAATAACAGAAACAATTAATAATGTGGGTAAACCTACTTCTCAAAAGAAACAATGAAATCATTACTGTACTTCACACATACTAAGTTACTGCGTTATTTCTTGACAAAAGACTTGCATCAAATTAGAGTATCAAGGCCCACCATTTTGTCTTTAACTGATGGGCATACATTGAAGCATTTATGAGTTACCCTGACATGCAGAACATAAATTATTCGAAGCTATCAAAGACCGTTTCAATATTCCATGAAATGGCAAACAGGATTAGAAGCAAACCAAATAGGATGCAAGGTAATGAAGATGAATATAAAACTTTCGAGTATCTGAAAGTTCATACCGGTGATATTCCCATAAAGCCGAGAAGAGTTCCTGATCCCAAAGACAGGGCCATAGCCTCGAATATACCAATGCCAACAGCTAGAGTTAAAGCTGTGGAAACTGAGGAGAGCTGCAGCTTTTCTACAGCATCAATAAAAGATTCACTGACTAAGATGATATTACCAACATGCTTCTATCCTCAAGAATTTGACAAGATATACTGAACATAATGGTTTCACATTATATGAGACTGAAAACTGTCAGTATCATGATAAGTGTATAACACCTACCTGTTGCTGAGAACCTGCCTGCATTTTTTGATATGTCTTCAGCCACAAAAGAAGTTGCAACACTGAGAAGAGGAATGTTGAAAAGCTTCGAGATGATGTTAAAAAGTGATATGGAGACACCAGCTGAAGCCAACTCCACAGAACCTATATCATGTGTATATTGCAAGAAAAAGGTTTTGATATTCCAAGCTACTCCCAAACATAAACCTTCTAACAGAAGCCATACAACACTAGTATTTAAAGGGTCTAAAATAATAAAAAAAAAATGGTGAAACTAAACACAAAATTTCGAATAAAGGCATCAATTTTACCCAAGCGACCAATATATGCAGTCTCCATAAGCTGCACCATTGGTTCGATGGCCTGCCCACCAATTGCTGGTAAAGACAGCATTAAGAGATCGCGCCTAACATCTTTCAATTTGGATGCATTCGAAAGATCTTCCCTTAAATTATCATTAAAATCTTCGACATCAGCTGAAGATGCCCCATTGAACTCGCTGAAAAAAACAAGAACCAATGCTTGAGCTTGAGTAAATCACCGAATCACACAAGACTCGTCTTTGGACTAAGGATATGCTACGATATAATAAATGTGACCATACAACATATATAAACCATACAATAACTAATAAATGTAACCATACAATAACTGAAGTTGACATCAAAAGGATCACATACTCAGTCACTTCACTAGAATTCTTTAAGGGATTAAGTTCCAGCCCTACGAGAGAGCTCTCGTCCGCATCACCAGACCCAACGCTATAATCCGAGCCAAATTGACAAGTTAACTTTGGGGAAAACTGCTTCCTATGAGGAATAACAGAACAAGACAATAACACTTTTTCCCTCCTCAAGGACAGACAACATATGTCACCACGACCACCATTACTGAAATTTATCCGCCTATGAAGAAAACAGTTAGACCCTTTTGGTGAAATAGCCCATTTGCTGCTCCTGCTCGACCGACCGCAAGAAACCGCGGCACCACCACAAGGCTGCACGGCTGCCATAGTCTGTTGCTCACAGTTGCTCCACAAAATAAAAACCTACAAATCCTGAGAGCTGGAAGAAGAAATCAAATTACGAAGTGAATATGTGAAACGAAAGCTTGTTCCAGACATCTCCCGGTTTCGGATAATATCAAAATCAAGAAATACGAGAAAATATTAACAGAGTAGAGACTTCTTGGGTTCTTCCTTGTATGTTGTTATAATATAAGTAGAAGTAGTGCGGTGAAGGAAGATTGGGCTACGGAGTGGTGGTTAACTGAGGAGGAGATGGCAACGCCGTCATCGGGAAGTTTTGGTCGAGACCGAGGTTTTTGCCTCGTCCTTCACGTCTTGCCGCTGTTTTTTATTTCGACACGGGTTTTGAGCTAAAACCCCTGCCACGCCATTGCCACCGTTCTAGCCCACTATTCCAAATTTCTAATATCCTTATTCCTTTTTATTCTTTTCATTATAATCTTTTTTAAAAACTTTTTAGTTTTTTCTTTCAATTTTGTAATTTTCTCTTTTTTTTTATTATTATATCTATATTTCTCTACTCGTGCGATGTATGAGCTAGTTTTATTAAGTTAAACATTTAGATTTAGATGATTCGATTTGGAAGAATATAAAACACATGTATTGGATTAAAACAAAATATAACTTATATATTATCTAACACATCCTTATACACAATATTATTTATTGGGTTATTTGGTGCGTCTTCTATCGCCACAAATTATATTAAGATTCTAGATATACTTAAATAAATCAATTAATTATTTAGCAAGATATATATGATAGTTTGTAAGTGTATGCAATCAATTTAAAATTTGTATTCTAGAGTATTAAACAACACCCAAATTTTAGAATGTTTCAATCCGATTTCATTCTGGATTTCAAATTAATAATATAAAATAAAATTTCAAACTAAAAAAAGGTAGTAACCAAATGATAAGAGATTTTTAAATTTTCAATTTAAAATTACGCCCAATTTCTACAAATGCGAATTTTTTTTATATAATTACGATCTATTGCATTTAGATAAAAGTACATTTATATTATTTTGCCTGATTCAAAATTCTCAATTTTATGGTAAATAATTTTTTTAATAAAAAATGAGGGAATTTTGACTTTTTACAAAATTTTCACGCCGAATTTTACCTATATTAACTCAATTTCTATGCAATCAGATTTTTTACTAAACAATTGACCTGTTGTAATTGGTAAAAGATATATGAGATAGTATTTTGCCTAATTTAAAATTCCCAATTTTTATGGTAACCAGTTGTTTTTTTAATAAAAAATGAGAAAGAATTATGACTTTTGCAAAATTGTAAGCATCAGTCAAAATTTGCCTAAATTAAATCTACAAACTCATAAATTTAGGGTGCATATATAGTTGATCGGTTTTTTGGGCATAATTAAAAAAAAAATAAAAAACTGCCAAAAATAGAATGCAATAAATGTTGGTTGATTTTTCTTGTTACAATTTTTGGTAAATATGTTGGTTCTATATATATATATATATATATATATATATATATATTTGTTAGTTACTTGTTTGGTTATAACTAGTACGTACCCGTACGATGCACGGGACACGGTTATTAAATGAGTTATTTTCACAGGCTCTACCCGTTTAAGTCTAAAAAACAATAAGATTATCATCTATTTTCAACCACTTTTAATCATCGTTTTTTTCCCGAAACCATAGATGTTATTATAAATAAAAAATACACAAATGTGCGAAAACAAGCAGCCAAAGGCTGAAAAGTGGGAGGACATGTCAGAAGACCGCCTAGAATCCCGACTAGCAACGCTAGTATAAAAACTTCTAACTAAACTAAACAACAACTCGAACAACTAAAACAACTAGAAAAGAAACCAACAGGGTAGTACCCGAGGGCCAGATCCCAATAAGATAATAAATTTGACATTCGGACGTACAGAGGCCAACGACCCATACCTAAAACACAAATAATAACCTAAAGAAAACAAAACCAACAGAGCCCTCCCCCAGTGAACAAACAATCCCAACCAGCAGTGGACGATCGATACAAGAAAGATCCCAGCCCGAGAATCCGCTACCGAAACTGCATACTGCCCATACAGTAGAAGAAACCGAGTCCCGAACCGATCCTAAAATCGACCCATCATCAACCGAAAGATCCGTGACCGACCCTCACAAAGGCCCCACCCGAACTCGACGAGCTCGAAAGAACCTGGTCCCCCGCCGCCTAACACCACTAGGCAGACGGGCTCGCACAAAGGTAAATCGCACCTTAACCCCAACCACCGCGACAGCCAAGCCGCAGCAACCGGAGCCTTGTCCTACCCCTCAGTATGTGTGCCACTCCATACAATCGCAGAGCCCCGACGACAGAAGCCCAGCCCCACCGGAGCAGGCAATCCCGCCGTAGAAGCACAACCCAATCGACAGTAGAAAAAGGCGAAATTGACCAGACTTGTCTCCACAGAGCAGCTCCCACCGAAAATTAGATGGAGACTCGGACCGCCAACTGAAGCCACCTCTACCGCCAATCAACCGGACCTCAACCGCGGAGCATTCATGGCTTAAATGGAGCCACACTTACCAGGAGAGGGCTAGATGGTCAATGACGACCCTTGGCCATGACGTTGCTGTCGTTGGGGGAGGCGAAGTGAGCGAAATTGGAGGAAAGTTAGAGAGAAACGAGAAGATTAGGTTAGAAAAAAGTCTTTTTTTCTAAAAAAAACAATAGGTTTATAATCTATTTTCCACCTCTTTTAATTAACACTGCTTTTTTAGACCGAACATTAAATATGAACATGTTAGGGCTAGCTTGTAAAAAAATAATTAATATATGATATCTCACTAATACATTTATACTAATATAAATTTGATTTTAGTATATAATTATTCCTTGATATAAGAGACAATAATAGCTTTATTTATTATGGTTCACCATATAATACTTAAATATTATTTTAATATAAATTTTGTTGTCATATAATGTCATTATTATTTATAAAATTCATAGAAGTTGTACGTCTTCTTTTTCTTTTAATTTTATCTTATGAATTTTTTTTAAGTATATTAGTATTATTTATTTATGTAATCCATTTAAAATAGTAAATAAATTTAAAATTAATAGTGTATAAATATTTTACAAAATATACACATGTTTTTTTAGAACTTAATTTTGTATACTAGTTAAACAATTATGTTTTATCAAATGCCAAAAACTCAATTCATTCTGTAATCATGATTTTTCTCATTTGCATCATAATTATCTATACTTATTTAGCATACTTGTTGTTGTATGAAATTTAACAACGATATAAATACGTAATTAAGTTGAAAAACGTAAAATCTGTTATATTATTAAAGTGTTTTGTGAATACAAGAGGTTGATTTTTGTATGAGCCGAGCTAACTTGCATGGATGTATTGAATGTCTGTCAAAAGGCCCTCCGATACAATAATAAATTCTTCTATTTATAATAGTGTGTGTTTAACTTCCGGTACTAGGTTGGTCTGATCGCATTTAATGCAAAACAGATTTTTGAAGAGTTTTGTCGGTCAATAGGTGTGCAATAATGACTGCAATGTTGCAGGTGGTATAACTATGTGAGCACTTAGTCACCTGCTTTGGGTTTCGGCCATCTTACCTCGGTTTGCGGGGAGAATCTTCGAGAATGAATCTTTGAAAAGTCGGTTGTTATCTTGGATGCGAAGTCGGTCTGCACCCATGAGTGCAGTCGGTTCGACACTTAGCTTGTACCGAGTTGTGTCAAGTTAGGCATATGAGCCGGTTTAAGCAATAACCTTTGAATAATACTCATAGATCTTTTAAGCCCCGTCGATCAGGTCGATTATCAATAATACTCTCTAATGAAAATATATTTTACAAAAATTCATTATAGAAATAAATTAAAATAAAAAATGATAAAAAATATCATGGTTGCCAATAATATATAAATATATTTTAAAGAACGGTTAATATCAATTTTAGTTTTTTACCATTAATAAAACTATTTAATGTATTTGGTCATTGTCTCTTAAATGGTAAATTATATTAATTTGAATAATGAGTTACTTTTTATATATAACGAAATAAAGCTTAATAAAAAATTATATTGGCAAAGATCAATTCTCCAACTTGATTTCGCCTGATTAATTAGGAAAAACATATTCTATCTAACATGTTACGATTTTTTATAAATATTTTTGGATGAAAATTGAATTTTGTTAATAAAAAATTAATATTATGGTTAGAATTTAAAATATGGTGTAAATATTTATCTTGAACAAAATGTTATCAACATGAATAACGGAAAATCAGTCTTATAATTTATAATGGATATCAATAAAATTATTGCAGATATTAATAAAATCATATAAGGAAACAATATTTTTGATCATATCTAGTTTGATATTATTTGAAAACATGTATATGAAAACAATTAATGCATATATTTAAAAAGTTTCCAAAAAATATATGCATTAAATGCTTACCTATTTTTTTACGAAATGGTAATTCTTTTTATATATAACTAGTGTGTGGCCCGTGCGATGCACGGAAAAATAATATTACGCTTGTGTTATAAATTAAATATACAAATAAATTAATCAAGATTTACACATCGTTTTTAAATTAAACCGTGTTTTTAAATTAAACCGTGTTTGACACAGTCCGACTGGATAGACCGAGAACTAATTTATAACCAGTCTAGTTCGCTTGAATAAAATATTTGATATTGAATCCGTCAACACCAGTCGGTTGAACTGGTAGGATCGGTACAATTTTTTAAATAAATTTTGCTACATTTAAAATTATTTTAAATAAAATTACATATCTAAATAAAATAAAAAATTTATAAATTATTTATCAATTAATTTAAATTTTTAATTTTTAAATTATTTAGATATTTAAATAACACATTTTTTTGAATTTATTGAAAAAAGTATTATATATATATATATATATATATATATTAAAGCATATTTTTAAAGAAAAAATTAAATTGTATGATTTTTATAAATTAAATTGTATGTATATATTAAAGCGTATTACAAATTGAATTGTATGATGTTTAAAAAAAAAAAAAAAAGAAACATAATAAAACTACTATTTATGGGACTATACAATCATCAACTATCATTCTCTCTTAAAAGCTTCGTCCACTAAATTGACATTGTTGTAGAAAATTAAAAATAAATTACTCGTGTGGAAGTCTAGTGTTGTTAAATTAAATGAGTTTGATCCAGCTCAACTTATGAATGTCTGTTCGACTCGTTTGATAAACGAGTTAACGAGCTCATTTAGTTAACGAGTCTAGCTCGACTCGGCTCGACAAGACGCGTTAAAGCTAGAAAAGAGATTTTTTTTTTTTAATTTTCTATAGTTCGACTCCTTATAGTTTGAGAACGGTTCGTTAAGGCGTGAACTTGACTTGTTATTAGTAATAAACGAGTTGAGCTCAAGCTCTATTTCAGACTCGTTTATTTTAAGGACTCAAGCACACTAAGTCCGAGCTCGGCTCGTTTATAGAAAAAAATTTATTATAAAAAGTAACCAAATTATATTTTTATTTTTGACAATAGCCAAATTATATTTTCCAAATTACTCCAAATTATATTCAAGAAAAAACATTTAAATAAAAAACTGTTGACCTTAAAATTCGAGATGCCACTCGAATAGGTATGTAAACAAGCCTAGTTGAACTCGAGCTTAGGGTGTTCGAACTCGAGCCCTTAACAAGTTGAGCTAGCTATGAATCTAACTGAAGTTAAACTCATTGAGCGACAACTAATATAAAAAAATCAACCGTCGCCCCCCTCAACCCTAGTCACCCAATTCGAACAGTGTCGTCGCCCCCTTAACGGCGGTCCGGAGCCGTCGGTCGACGGCCTCCACCGCTCACTCAAGTCGGACCTGCGCTCGTCTCCATTCGTTGGCCCTGTTCCAGATTCGTGGATTGACGAGGTGTCCTATCCCAAGTCAATCGACGGTGTTTGGCGGCGGTTGCGGTGGTTCGGGTC